CGGACCGCGGCTGCGCGCTCTACCCGGACGCGCTCAAGCCGAGCGACGAGCTCATCGCGCTCGACGGCGACGTGCTCGTCGACCCGACGCCCGCCGAGTTCGACGCGCTGCGGGAGACGCTCGCGACGGCGCGGCCCGCGACGCTGCTCTTCGTCAAGGGCGAAAAGCGCGACGCGGCCTTCGCGGACCAGGAGCGCGACCGCGGCGCGGCGCGGCTCTCCCTCCTCGGCGGCCTCGCGTCCGTCGACGCCGCGTTTTTCGCATGTTGCGCGCCCGCGCGCGAGGGCGACTAGGGGCGCCCGAGCCGCGGCGCGGGGAAGCGAGCGAAGGGCGAGGGACCAGCGACGGGGGATGGATTAGCCGGGGCCTACTTGCGGCCGCCCTTGCCGTTGCCCTCCTCCTTGGACTCGTCCATCATCTCGTCCATCTGCGCGCAGATGGACAGGACCTCCTTCTTCGAGCTCTCCTCGAGCTCGCCCGCGATGAAGAGCTCGTCGAGGATGTAGTAGGCCTTGTGGAAGTTGAAGATGATGTCGAGCTCGCAGACGTTGCCGAAGTAGCGGTCCAGCACCTCGACGAAGAGGTGGATCATCTCCAACGTGATGAGCTCGTTGTCCTCGGAGTCGACGCCTGCGGGTAAAAACTTCAACTTGCTGGTAAAAAACTTCAACTTGCCCTCGGCCGTCGGCCGATCGTCGCCGCCGATGGCTCGGCGAGCGATCGTCGCTCGGAGCGCGCGCGACGCGCGCGCGCCCGTCCCGGAGGCGCGCGACCGGCGCCGCGGCGCCCGTTCGCGGCGCCGGTCGCCGCAGCAGATGAAGAAGAGGCTCGCGTAGCGCTTGTAGACGATCTTCTTGTCGGCGCGCCACTCGATGAAGTTGCACATCTTCGGCGCGCGCGCGAGCACCGTCGCCTGGCGGGGGGGGGGGGGGGCTCCGGCGGCGGGGCGCTTCTCGCGCGGCGCGCGCGCGCGGCGCCGCGCGGTGCGCGCGCGGGCTCCGGCGCCGGTCCGCGCCGTGACCTCGCGCACGATGCGCGCCTTCTCCTTCGTCGAGTAGGACTCGTACCACTTGGTGAGGCGCGTCTTGCCTTGTCGGCTCACGAGGAGCATGAAGTTGATCATCGCACCGGCGGCGCGCCCGGTCGCGGCGGCGCGGCGCGGCTCGGCGGCGCGCGGCGCGACGGGCGCGGCGGCGCGAAACGGTCCGCGGACGCTGCGGCGCTCGGCGTGCGGCGCGCGCTCGCGGCCCACACACCTCGATCACGTGAGCTCGAGCGACGGCGCCGCGCCGGGGCTCCGCGCATTATTATATAAGTTGTACAGCTGTAGAGGGCGCATCAAACAAAAAAGCCGCATTATTATTATTATTATGGGTGCTTTAATAACGTGGGACTAGGTCGGCGGCCCGTTATAGGCCGATTGGGGCTGGTAGGCCGCCAGGGTACCTACCTACCTCGGTTTCTATCGCCGATTTGCGGCCGCCGTGGCAATAAAATGTTCGGCGAGTGATGTGGCGGCGGCGCGGCGGTCGCTCGTCAGGTAACACACGCGCACCGCGCGGGCGCGCGCGCCGCGTCTAAATCGATGCCATGTCGGTCGTTTTGAGTCGTTTCTTCTCGGTCTTTCGGCGGATCGGAGCCCCCCGGGGGCGGGGGCGACTCGTCGCACAAAAAGACGCAGGAACCCCGACCGTCTACGGACCGGCGGGGCCCGTACTCGCGAACGGGCCGTAGCGCCGCGCCGCGGTCACGCCGCTCAGAGGCCTCAACCACGCTGCCGGACGGGCCGTAGGCCTCTAAGTTGAACCACGGTTGAACCTCGGTTGAACGGGGGGTTTGGGGCGGCCGAGGCCCGAAAGTACCTACCTACCTAGGGGCCCTCCGTCGGCCTCTGTCACTCTGCTCCCTCTTGCCTCATCATCAAAATCCGCGACCTCACGAGGCCTCACAGCAGGCTCCTCTGACATCGAGATCATTTGTCGTCTTCCACGCACGCGTAGAAAGCACCCACGCGCTTCACATCGCTTATAGCGCCGCCCCGCGTCCCGTCATGGTGTCCCCGACCCCTTGAACGTCGCCCGAAAAATCGAGCCCTCGCGACGGCTTTCGGCCAAAACGGGCGACCGGGCCACGGGCGACGAGCGAATCAAACCGGCTCAGCCGTCGCGGGGCGTCGTCTGGCCTCGCGCCGCGCCGTACGGCCTTCGCGCGCGGCCTTGGCGACCGTGGCCGCATCCCCTCCCCGCCCCCCGTGGCACGTCCGCGGTCCTGCGATTATATTCGATCGGGCGAATCTCTTGACAGGTCCTCGATGGCGTCGATGAGGTCCATGCGACTCCACCTTGGGCTCTGGCTGCTGGCCGTGGCGGCGCGGTGCGAGAGCAACCACAGCGTCATCGTCGTCGCCGGCTTCAGCCACACGGGCACGCACCTCGTGTCTCACGCTCTGGAGGCGCTGGGCCTGGGGTCCCAGGTGCGCGCGTCGCACGCGCCGACCATGGACTGGGCGCAGTTCGAGACCGTCGACGCCGTGCTGGACCACCCGG